AAAAAAAGCTGCCAAACAACCCCCCTCCAAGCCCCTCATTAAATACCCTCCCCCACACTCCATCCCTTATTAAAACCCTTGCAGTGGGATGGAGCGGAGCCAAAGGCTTCCAGCCCACCATCGCCCCCAAAATAGAGGTGACCGTTATTGTTAAAGTTAAGTTTTCAGCTTATTGCCAGGGATATGTCTAAGTGATGATATAAATAATACTATGAATAATACATTAAGCAAAAACCCAATCTGAAATTAAATTTGCCTTGGGTTATCTCCCTTTTTACTATATACATACAGAATTATTATGCGCTACGGAAAAAAAAAAAGAAAAAAAAAAGCTAATATCAAGGTAACACTTTTTCCCCCTTTGAAAGCAGCAAGAATCGCTGGCCCCGAGAAGCTGCTGTCTACACCAGAGACATCAGGGCAGAACTTCCCTTCTCCCTGAAATAAGGGGATAGACTTGGAGCCAGGTTTCAGGGCTGGCTGGAAAGGCTCTCTCCTCCGCAGGACTCGGGCAGCGCTGCTTGCTTTGGCCTGGTGCGTCTGCACGCGAAGAATCGCGCTGCATCGTTTGCAGGTGCACCGAGGATCATCAGACCCTCCCGCCTGGCCTCGCTGGGATAATTCCGTTTCAGTGCTGGGAGCTGGTCTCACGTTTATTTGATCTTTATGTCTCCAGTTAAGCTCAGATGAGCACCAGCCCTTTACTCACTGGCTGTTTAGCGTTTAGCACTGACCTTGCTTTGATTTCCACAGCATTCCCACCTCGGCCAGGGTAAGCAGAACAGGGACTGACCAGGCTCACACCGGGTGAAATCCCAGCTGTATCCGGATCCCAGGAAAAGGAGAGGAGTGTTACAGCAGGAGCTGGGGCCGTGAACTGGGCTGCAGACTGAGACCAGGCACCCAGGTCTCTGCCCCGGCACTACGCCAAAACTGCGGTGTGGTTTTAGCTAAACCACTTCTTCTCCCCACGCCTCGGTTCCTTCAGAAGGCGAGTAAGGCTGGGGGTACTTAGCTCACTCTACAAAGCCCTTGGCAGTCTTTGGCTAAAAAGCCCTAGGAAAATGCACTGGCACCTACTTCCAATCAACCCCAAGGCACCGTCGCGGCCAGTCCTCAGCCACTGTACCAAACCCAAGCTGTTTCCCCTCTGAACACAGTGCCACAAGGCGACAGAGACGGACTGGAGGTCTTCTGAACTACTGCCTCCATCCGTCAGGTCTTTCAAGTGACCCTCCATGCCACCGGGGACGTGCACCCCGCTGTCAACCTGCTGCTGAGGCGCTCCAAACACTGGGGCACTAATGCAAATCACGGCAACTCACAGGATGGTTCTGCCATGTGAACATCAGTTCAAAGGCAACCTACTGAGACCGGAAAAACTCATTTCCTGAATTGTCTGAGAGAGAAAATGTGGGCGCCCAATTACGGAGCCTGGGAGGCTGCAGAAAGGGGCACCCCGCTGTCAACCTGCTGCTGAGGCGCTCCAAACACTGGGGCACTAATGCAAATCACGGCAACTCACAGGATGGTTCTGCCATGTGAACATCAGTTCAAAGGCAACCTACTGAGACCGGAAAAACTCATTTCCTGAATTGTCTGAGAGAGAAAATGTGGGCGCCCAATTACGGAGCCTGGGAGGCTGCAGAAAGGGCAAACTGCTCTGCCCTGCCCTGCTCTGCCCCTACGGCAGCCCGCCGAAGCACTGGCTTACACCTTGGTCGACGTGGGGGGGGGGGTTTGC